GAGAACAATTTAACCAGAAGTTGCCTCCAGAAGTTGTGGGCGCTCCAAGTTTTTAAGAAGAGATTAGACAGCCATTTGTCTGAAATGGGAGAGGGTTTCCTGCCCGAGAAGGGGGTTGGACTAGAAGACCTCCAAGGTCCCTTCCAACTCTTGTTATCCTTTTACAAACAAAGGCAGGAAAACTGCTCATGAAATGCTTCCTTGGGCGAAGGCTGGTAGCCCAGTAAATGCACCCGGCTGAAACAACTGTGAGCATGCAACGGTGTGACACGCCAATTTCCCTTTATCCAGTCTTTTTTCCTTTTTTTTTTTTTTTTTGGTGAGAAGGAAACACTTGTACATGAAGATAAAGCTGCCATTGCAACATGGAAAGCAATCTTGTCTGGTCGCCTCCCTTGACAATTTGGAAGCTATTATTGAAAACCATCAGAACTGCCTTGGTTTTTACAATTAAAGATACGGGAATGCTGAAGCTTAGATTCCACTTTCCATATACAATTATATATATTTTTAAAAATGTATACAGAAAGTGGCATTTAAGTTTCAGCATTCCTGTGACTTTAATTGCAAAAAGCAGGGTAGGCTTTCAACCCTTTCCATTCCGATGGTTTTCAATAAAAGATTAGAAATATATACATATTTAAAGACTCCGAAGGGAGAAAAGCATCAATAAAAACGTCACTTACCACAGGCAGCCTGGATTGGAGCATCTGAAGATCGTCATAACCATAAATCTGCTTAAAGACAGAAAAAACACACACGCAAATCACAAGATTGGTGTTTCACTCCACGAACCCCACTTCCTTCTAACACTGATGATGTTACCTAGCTGGGTAATTAAATGTCTGCAAGGAAACCGCTAAGCTCAGAGATCGTCAAGGGCCCCATTGCAAATCGAGTAAGTTCTGAGTCCAAGAAGATTCAGGTCAGGGATTACTTGTGAATGGAAGGCTTCCTCTTCTTTGCTGGTTCTCTGAATTCTATAGGGGGCCAGAGTGTGCAACCCATAGACAAGATCGTAACCGCCCTACACATCTCCAGATTCAATCCGTGGCATCTCTTCCTTAGGAGAACACGTAATATACACATCCTGGGGAAATACCAACCCAGCAGACCCTATACTGATTGCAGGGTCCAATCTGAGGGGAATCACCAGAACTGAAGGTTTGTTCTTCCAAGCTTTGGGGCTGGTGCTGGAGCCCATCCCTCTGGCTGTTCTACATGCTGTATTTATATGCTACATTTTTATATATGTGGAATAATTCAATGCACATATTCTGGGCAGAGAGAGAGGGAAGGAGGGAGGGAAGGAGGGAGGGAGACAAGAGACACACAGAGAGAGAAAAAGGGAGAGTGACAAGAGACACAGAGGATGACAAGACACACACACACACACACACACAGAGTGACAAGAGACAGAGACAGTGACACAAGACACACAAGAGACACAG